GAATTTTGGCGGGCTTCGGCGACGTATTCTCCCCAAGCCTCGTCACCCACGATAGCCGTAGCAGCGCCAGCCGTAGTGATTTGCTTAAACTCCCTAATAGGCAGAGCTGGGGGAGTTAGGCTGTCGTGCACAGGTCCACCAACTGATCTGGACGTCGGGCTCCAGCTTCTTGAAGAACGAAGAGTTTCGGGTGATGTTTTTTGCCCCGCCCTCGGCAGTAATCATCGTACCCTTGGGGGTGAGTGATGACGTAGGATTCAGGATGATAAGTGTTCAGGAATTAATTCCGGAGGGGTCACGCCTGACTAGAACTTTGTCTCCAGTCATGAGGTTGCTTGGCTTCACATATGCTTTCCGGTCAGCATAGCTTTTCATCTTCTCCTTAGCCAACATGTCTCGGTGTCGAATCGATGCTGGGTCCTCCTTAGAACTGGGTATGTTAGGAATCTTAACGCGCATGGGCCTGTTGAATAAATCCTTGGCTGGTGGCTTGCCTGTTGACGAGTGCGGTATTGCTCTGTAGTTGCAAAGCATCTTGTGTAACTTTTCTTTCCAGGGACGTTGATCCATGTTTGCTGCTTCAATCGTCTTCTTAACCGTGCGCGTGAATCGTTCAACTTCTCCGTTGGCACGTGGCCATGTGGGGGTTATCTTTCGATGGTCGAATTCAGGGGTTTCAAAATGTTTTAAAGTAGGCGGCCGACTCTGGAAAAGTAGGCGGCTGTGATAATCGAGAAAATTTTGAAATCTAGAAGCTCCGAAATGCCATTTTCAACGTTCTAGCATCTATTTCAAAGGTAAATTGTGATTTATTAACAGCAGCATAATTTTACTGATTACATTGATTCAGATTGACTTGAGTGACATTAATTTTCATGAAAATTAGTCAAGGGAGGAATGCTGATCTACGAACATTGGCTTATCCTACATTACAGAGTATAGCATGAAAATGAAAGAAATGCTTTCATCACATTTGTATGAGATGGAAATGTTCAAATAAAAAATCATTTATGGTGTTTCAAAATTCACGCTTCTTTTGCCTTAATTTCAGGCTACAAGTCAATTCCATGCAAACTGTAACAGCTTACTAATACTCAAATGGCCAACTACCAAACAAGTTCTGAATCTGACTCCTCGTCACTGTCAAAATCTTCAAAGTCAGAGTCAATGTCAAAGTCATATTCTTGATTCTTACAGTAAGCCCTTAAATGGGCAACTACCAAACAAGTTCTGAATCTGACTTCTCGTCACCGTCAAATCTTCAGAGTCAGAGTCAATGTCAGAGTCATATTCTTGATTCTTACAGTAAGCCCTTAAAGTGAAAATTATTTTTCATTTACAAGATAACATTAAAACTTGGAATTATAATTGATTTTGCTTTTTTCATATATATATATATATATATATATATATTTAATTCAGGTCTGAGAATCAAGCGATTAGAATCGTCACATCTGTCATATTCATTCGTTTTCACACTTTTTTGAACGTTGTTTTGCCGGTATTTCTATCTTTTTAAAACTAAAACTATTTCCAAATGCAAGGTCTTTCTTCCCATTTTACTCTTATTCTTTATTTGTTATTACTAGCTTCAAAATGGCAATGGCAGTTTCGTTCAAAATCTCCATTTTGAATCGCAGAAATAATTGAAACGACACAGTCACGTTTCGAAAGC